GTTCATTGAAGGACACAGGCCACGCCCTCTTTATGGGGTGTACACTCCTAACTGCTTGTTACTAAACTGGAGACTTGTCAGCAGGTGGGGGGTTTGGCCACCGGCAGGGGCCACCCCTAGGCTGTAATTGGTCTTTAGTTTTGTGCCTAGCGTCCTTCTCCTGCAGGTGGCGATATTACCCTACCATTCAGGATCTACGATCTGTTGCCTGTGTCCTTCAATGAACGGAGAGAAAAGGATTTTACGGTGAGTACAAAAATCCTATATTTCTCTCTCCTATAACCCCATTTGAATCCCAGAGCATTTTGATTATTTCAGAAATGTGTCAGTTCTGCACTTTATATCGGTTAGTGTTTAGTCTACCCTGACATATTATATATCTTTTTTGCAGACAGAGGGGGTTTTCGATTTTAGTATCAGACTTGGATATGGAGATGGATAGATAGATATACAGTCATGGGCAAAAATATTGGCACCCTTGCATTTGTGCAGATAATGCAACGCTTAGTGCAGAAAATTGTTGCCATTACAAATGTGTAGACATGCTTATGTTTATTTCTTTTGTTTGTATTGGTATGACACACAAAAGCTGAGAAAAAGAAAAAAGCCAAACCTGACACATTCCACGCAAAACACCAAAAATGGACTGGAACAAAATGATTGGCACTCTCAAATAATATTTGGCAGCACAGCCCTTGGAAAAAATAACTGAAATCAATGGCTTCCTGTAACCATCATTGAGTTTCTCACACCTCTCTACAGGAATTTTGGACCACTCTTCTTTCGCCAACTGCTCCAGGTCTCTCAGATTGGAAGGTTCCTTTTCCCAACTGCTGTTTTGAGATCTCTCCACAGGTGCTCTATGGGTTTGAGATCTGGACTCCTTGCTGGCCAGTCCAGTACTCTGCAGCGCTTTGTCTGAAACCATTTCTGGGTGCTTTTTGATGTGTGCTTTGGGTCATTGTCTTGCTGTAAGACCCATGACCTCTGATGGAGACCCAACCTTCTGACACTGGGCACCCCAAAATTCTTTGGTAGTCTTCAGATTTCATAATGCCATGCACACAGTCAAAACATCCAATGCCTGAGGCAGTAAAGTAACCCCAAAACATCAGTGAACCTCCACTATGTTTGACTGTAGGGACTGTATTTTTTTCTTTAAAGGCTTCATTTCTTTTTCTAAAAAAAAACAGTAGAATGATAGGCTTTACCAAAAAGCTGTAATTTTGTTTCGTCTGTCCACAGCACATTCTCCCAAAAGGATTTTGGCTTCCTCAGGTAAGTTTTGGCAAACTCCAATCTGGCTTTTTTATGTTTCTGTGTCAGCAGTGAGGTCCTCCTGAGATTACTAACATAGCATCCCTTTTCATTTAGTTGGCGACGTATAGTGCGAGCTGACACAATTGTACCCTGTGCCTGAAGGTCAGCTTGAATATATCTGGAAGTTGATCGAGGGTCTTTATCCACCATTTGAGCAATCCTTCGTTGCAATCTTTGATCAATTGTTGTCTTTCGTCCACGTCCAGGGAGATTAGCTACAGTGCCATGGGCTGTAATCCTCTTGTCAATGTTGCGTACATTCGACACAGGAACATTAAGATTTCTGGAGATGGACTTGTAATCTTGAGATTGTCCATGCTTTTCCACAAAATCTTGGAATTCAATTATCTCTTGCAATTTTGAGAAGGTGCCAATTATTTTGTCCAGTCCATTTCTGAAGTTTTGCGTTGGAATGTGTCAGATTTGGCTTCTTTTTCCCTCCCATAATTGCAATAATTTTCTGCAAAAAGTGGTGCATTTTCTGACAGAAATGCAGGCGTGCCAATATTTTTGGCCATGACTAAAATATATATTATATACACATTTTCCTAGTTTTTAATTAAGAAGGGATTGTGAAGTGTACAGCTCCAGATATTTACCCAAAAATATAACTGACAAAGCCTTTTGGTTAAAGGATATAGCGTAAGTGCTATTCCCTTGTGACATAGTGAAATGGTAAAGCTCAAAGTGAACATTTGTATAGTAATAAAAAAGGAGAACTTTATTCTGCTTTCAATGTTTTATTTTATCTCCTAACATTTTCTTTTAGTGGGGGTGTTGTTTAGGTCAGTGGAGACCTGATTCAATTCCCCCATGCAACTTTGAAATAATTACTTCTAATGATTGCAGCCAGCAATAGATCACTGCAGCAGTGATCTGTTGCTGCAGGGAGAAGCTAGACAGGCCAGCAGCAGCTTTGCCCTACGTTCTATTGACAAAGTGCCATGCACTCAAAATGTCACAAGCGACCTTACATCACTTCCTTTGTAAACACATTAGCGGAACATTGTGTTTCCACTGTCTGCTACAAAGTGCTACATAGCCTGATTAGTAACTTATGAGCTAATCCATTCAGCTCCTGGGCTTAGTGCTGGATCTTGGCTGTCACCGACAACTGGCCATTCCAGTGCTAAAGTCAGCTGGGAACTACAGGAGCTGTTGAGTCCCAATGCCATTTAAAAATTCCCCAGAGACAGATCATTGCTGTCCCTGTGCCGATTTTAAAAGGCAACTAGGACTTTTGGTTAAGTTGTAATTCACTGTAATTCTATGGAAAGCAAGTTTGTTACCCAGCGTAACAGCATGAACATGCCATATTTACTCCACACTAGGATCTGTATAGGTTTAGAACTGCCACCAAGGAGATCTTTTCCCTTCTAACTGCTCCATCTCCTTTGACAGGTTATTATACTTGCTCCAGCAAGAGACTTCGAGCACAGAACTGAAGACAGAATGTGCTGTGGTCCTTGGCAGCTTGTCTATGGGTACAGAAAACAATGTGAAATCCCTGCTAGACTGTCACATAATCCCAGCTCTGCTGCAAGGTAGTGGTGACCTTACTATAAAGCACAAAGGCCTCACATACTGTACTGACTTGCCACGTTTTTCTCTTTCTGACATTTTTATTGTTCTGCATTTTCAGGCTTGCTATCAGCAGACATTCGCTTCATTGAAGCTTGTTTGCGATGTCTCCGCACAATTTTTACAAGTCCAGTAACTCCAGTGGAGCTCTTGTATACAGTAAGCACCTTCTTTTCAATGCAAATCTGTATTGTGTCGTAGGATAGGCATGAACCAAAATTGACTAATTTCTTTTCAGTGTATACTTATTTTTATTATATAAATTCTATCATTATAATTGTATTATATCAATTATTGTGACATAGTTTAATTCTGCAACCAGTGTAACATTTTACAATACATAATGGAAATCATACCAAATTAAATTTTAAATTATGGATGTTAAGATCCAGTTAATACATTTAATCCATAATAAAGGTGATTGGGTCTGATGAGTTGAAATAATATTGCTAATAAAAAAAATTATAGGACACACTTGTGCAAAATGCCATGTAGTTAATTTATTTATTAAATTAAGTTGCAAGCAGGTGTGTAAAACATTTCATGTGTTTCATATGACTAGCTTACCCGTAGAGCAGGGGTAGGCAACCTTGGCTCTCCAGCTGTGCTGAATCATTATATATATTTTGTAATATGTTATATATGTGTGTGTATGTGTATATATATATTATAAAATGCATTTTTGGATATATTCAGGTAAGATTTTTATTTTTGTAGGTTAGAATGTGTGATGAATTGATCGGGAACACTTTACTTTCTTGCCCCTTGGGTTTTCAAACTTGCCTGATTGTTTCTATTACACATAATATACACAGTTGTCTGTAGTACATGCATGCTAAGTTAAATATTAACAAATATTAAATATTAACAATTACAGGAATTTATTTCCTCTCCGATATCACAATACTCCCCCTCACAATGCCATTTTTCATCAGGCATTACCCAGGGTCACCATTTGCTTCTTGGACTGAGATGCCAGCTCACAGATGGCACAGTTATGCTAATTTTGGGGTCTTTTCAGTTTTATGTTCACACATTTCTGGCACTAATCGCCCCTGCTGCAGCCTCCCACCTTGTGACCTGTTATAAAGTTACAGTGCAACTGTTTGATCATCAGGCAGGGGAGACCCTTCCTCCTGCCTGCAGTAGACTCACGACATCATCTCAGCCTAGGCACATTTTCTTAACTGGAGTTCAAAGACTGCTTTTTAATGATAAAAGGAACCACTTTTCTGAAAACCTATTCTGTTGTGTATTATGACAGGTCAGTAATTTATTTGTGCCAGATTGCAATGATAGCTGATAGTCCCCTATGGGGACTTTTCCCCATAGTTCTCCTAAGGGTAAAGGGAGGACACAAACTAACGTCATGCCGTCACCCCAAGCTCAGTATACCGTGAGCTACAGCTGCGGTATACTGAGACGCCGGAACGGATCCCGACAATTCTGTCTGGATCTACCCAGCTGCGTAAGTGACAGCTGGCTCTGCCTATCTAGAGGCAGAGCCAGCTGTATCAGCCCCCTCCCCCGTCCATTCCGCCAGTCAGCGCTGAAGGATCGGACAGGGGAGGGGGGGGAATCCCTGCAGTGAGCCGTGAGTGACTGTCACGTCTCTCTGCACGGATAGATCGAGAAGTGAGCGAGCGCCGGTATGTGTTCACTCCCCCATCCACTGAGCCGACCTGTGACAGTTTCATTGTCGCAGGTCGGCTCAGATTGTGAGGCTGAGTGAAAATCACTCGCCTCATAATTCTTTAAGGTGACAAAGAGCACTGTGCAAAGTACATAAATCCATAAGAATCATTTTATGATTCTAAGGACTCTAAATGGATAAAATCATACATTTTCCTGGATTAGTATAGTTCACATTTTTTTTTTCTATGCATTATTCAATCAGCTGCTGTATGTTTTACTGATAAAGGGCAGCCTGCTTTTTAGTCATGTTTTACTCCTATGAGTTAACAGGGTTGCAGTACAATTATGGCAATTTATAGAAAATGATTTATTGCTACGTAACAATCTCATTTTCACACAGGGTGATTTTTAGATCCGTTTTATGGTATTTAATTGTGGTTATTTTCAGAGCACTATGTACTGCAGAGATATATTTTTGTTCTTCATTTAAAGGAGAACAATGAGGTGAGTGCTTTTCACTCACCTCATAGTTCTAGCCGACCTGTGACAATGAGACTGTCACAGGTCGGCTCAGTAGATCGGGAGGTGAGCGAACACATACCGGCGTTCGCTCACCTCTCGATCCTGTCACGGCTCTCTGCCGTGACAGGGGAGGGGCTGGAAATACCGCGAGCTACAGCTCGCGGTATACTGAGCCTAGCGTGACGGGAGGACGCTAGTTTGTGTCCTCTGGTTACCCTAAGGAGAACTATGGGGAAAAGCCTTAACCCCATAGCTCTCCTTTTAAATACTTAATTGTTTCAAAAGGCAAGTGTTGTAAATATTCCTTTCACTCCTGATAACCTTTCTCTCTTTTTGCAGGATGCTACTGTAATCCCACACCTTATGATGTTGCTCAGCAGATCTCTCTACTGTCAAGAGTACATCTGCCAGATCTTTGCCCACTGCTGCAAAGTAATTTTTTCTAAATTTTATGATTTATTTAAATGGAATGCAATGGCTGTTAGCGTTTTTGCTTTATTTGACATTTCTAGATCTAAAATATACATTAATAACTATGTTAAAGCTGATGTAAAGTCTAATTTACCAGTTAAAGTAATTGAATAGTACCTTTTAGAATAAGTCCAACATTCTCCTTTTCTCCATTCCCTTTCTCTAGCCCAAAAAAAAGCAGCCTGGAAATGCTGCACTAAGGCTCAGTGGAACTCCCAGTTGGTGTATTTTTTTTTTTTTTACTTGCAGCAGCTGCAAATAACTCCACAGTGCAGTTTTGAATAGGAGATGCTGGGATGAGACCACTGATTGCCACTTCAGTGGAATTAGATCAGTGGTGTCACCCTAAATAAATTTGTGAAGTGACAACCACGCAGGAATAACACATGTGTTTAATTATACAGAATGCTCACCCATACAAATCACAGAACACTGATCATTGTGTGAGTGCTCTGTAACATGGACATTTTGATTTTGCCCATGTTAGGCTATTTTTAACTTAAGATAACTCAAGATAATGTCCTGCCTAGATAAGGTCCCTGCTATTGCCTGTGTTAACCAAAAAAATTCTCTTAGAGACCATTTTCACAGTGTGACTAAGGGATCCGTTGCTCTGATTTACGTCCTACCAGTAATAGAGTGCACCCTTATTCACCACTGAGACACTCCTATTAGACCTGGGGATGGAAAATGGGTGGGACATAGCCCTTACATCAGAGTATACCAGCCCTTTGTTAAAAAAAATTAACTAATTTCATATGAGCACACTTAGGAGGCTTCTCTTGCTGAGCAAGATGTCTTTTGGTGCCTGCCAAGACCTTTACTTCTAAAAGTTTTAAATGGCTGACAGTTTCACTTAAGAGTGCTGGTCTTACCCAACCCATGTATTAGTTGATGATCATTTAGATCCTTGGTTCTCAACTGGTGGGTCATGACCCAAAAGTGGGTCGCTGCATGCCTTCCACTTTTCTAGATGAGAGGCTCCTCAGCCTCCCCCTAGTGCAGCACTGTCAGTTCTCGCGCCAAGCAGCCATTCAGAATACGCTGCACAGCGTCAAGTGTCAGCTTGAGGTGGGATAGAATGGGGATATGGCCGCGAGGGAGCTCCGATTATACGTGCATTAATTACCGCTCCCTCATGTGTCCTGTAGAGGTGCCTGGATCAGAGTAACGCACTGTACCACGCAATCGCACCCACTACACATTCTGGTGTGGGTAGTATGTTGCATTGCCATTCATCTGAATGGTACCCCAAATGCACCTCCCACCCACAGTTCGATCACCCACACTGGAATGCGTGCTACGACAATGCAGTGCAGTCCATTGCAGTGCGACTTCTAGTCGCGACTTAATGGCCAAGGGCGAATGTGGGTCCTGAGGTTACACAGGTTGAGAACCACTGATTTAGATGACCCACTAAAGTGACTTAAGTCTGTTTTAAGTGGCCTAGGGTTCGCTGCCAGTAAGATTTCTAGGTGTAATTTTTAGCTTTTCTTCCTTGCTATCGCAATTCCTATAGCAGGTGAGCAGTCCTGGGAACTGGTTTGGCTCATTGAAAACCATGTATTACCTGTGTGGCTGATACCTTTTCTCAACTGTTGAGAGACAGAGAGTAATTATCATGTACCTCAGGGGTCAAAATTTCAAGTCCTGAGCTACTAGCCCTGCTTTAAGAGTTACTCGCCACCAGTTGCCCACCTAACCCCTACCCTGGCCTTAACTCAGCCCCTAAGCACACCCTCTTAAATAATCTTATAAATCACACTGACTGCAGGGAGGAGACAAGCAGGCAGATCCCTGGTGATCTGGTGCGATTAGTAAGGCCTGCAGGTCTACTAATCACTCCATTTTTGACCCGGTGCTCAGTGAAGAGCTCTAACCGAAAAGGAAGGGAGACAGACCAGCAGGAGCAGCTGCTCCCACTAGTCGGGTACTGACTCAAGCCTGACAGAATTTCCACTCGCCAAATGCGAGCAGGCGAGTGGAAATTTTGAGCCCTGATGTACCTGATTAGAGGCCAAGTTGATGACGGCTTCCCTTACACCTCCAGTCTAGATGCCCCTGGAGTGAGTGGGCACAGAGTGGCATGGGTGCCAGGATTTTAGTTCTCAGTAGCTCATTTCTGGCTACTTGACTGTGAAGTGGTTATGCACACTGACAGGAAGGGCCCCTTGGAAAAAGAAGTCCAGAAGGCAGCTGGTCAGGACACTGAAACTCTTGACAGGCTGGAAATGTGGTCTGGACAGGTGGTAGTCGGTAGCCTAGTGGACAATTAGCAGGCAAGGGTAGTGGGCAGAGTTAGGGTCGGGAAGCAGGCTGGGGTCACACCAAAAGGTAAGCAGAGAAGAGCCATAATCTGGAACTACCCAAGGTCACATCGGGAAGGAACAGTGACAAGTCGTGGTCAGGAACTAGCCAAAGTCAATAACAGAGAGGCAGAGCTGAGACAAGACCATGGGTGTGCCAGGTCAGGGACGGGTTTAGGATTCAAGTTGCAGGGTAATAGCTGAAGACCATCCAGCCACTTTCTAGCCCAGCACTGGTCTTACAGCTGGCTGGAATTGATCTTTGTCCTGTCACAGTGGCACACATGCATGTCATCCTCTGATGCTGTCCTGACAGTAATTCCACTGAGCCACAGAGAGCTCCAATTATTAAAGTAACAAAAAAGCTTGTGAAATTTTAAAATGAAGTCAGAGGTCAAAAAATTCCTAGGCATCTATAAAAAAAAAGTTATTCAATTCTGGTTGCTCTTTTCTTTCAGCTGTCGCACGCACGATAAATACAGAATGCTGTACATTTTAAATGTGTGGTGTTTTTTTGTTTTTTCTGTAGGCTCCAGATCATCAGACAATTTTATTCAACCATGGTGTAGTGCAAAATATTGCCCATTTGCTAACATCTGTGTCATATAAAGTAAGTATTTATTGTTATTTTGAAGTGTAAAAACCTTTCTTCATCTTAGGAACTGCACAGCGTGAGCATGAATATAGTGCTTGCATTTTGTAAATGCTTTGGGGGTCAATGCTTACACTTGGGCACATTATCTGCTGGCAAAAGTCATTTCAGAATTCTCAGTAAGTACTCGCCTAATGCATGGGTGAGGGGTGGATTGGCTGATGAAAAATAGTAACTTCCATCATCTCCTTAGGGCATGGGTGATTGGCATCTGTCTGGACTACCGATAAATGTCAAATCTGACCCTCAATTTGAATGTTAAAATAGTGGCTCTTATAGGGGTTGCTTTACTAATTGTTTATTTTTAATATCTCATTTAGATTTGGGGTAAGGGACCTAGCACCTCGATTTTTAATTTTCAGGATCACTGTCCTATGTCTTATTACTACATCCATGGAGAACTCAATTCAGCAAAGCAGAGTTCAGTTTGCCAGGATGAACTGATCATACTCAGAGGGAGAGCATTTTGTTATCCAGTCATGTAAGAATGGTAGAACATAACCTTGGCAGACTTGTATATTTGCACTTTTTTGTTTTTGTTTTGCTGACTGACACAAATCAGACATCACACATCTCTGGCTATGGAGAGGTCTTGCAGTGTTTCCAGAAAAGCCAAGGCGGGGTTGTATATTACCTTCCCCTGTTTCCCACAGTGCATTGTTCAGCTGGGGGGAGCTTTTATAGCTCTGTCTGGGATTCAATATTTTATTTTTTAATTGAAGGTAGCCAAGAAATGTTTTGAGTTCTGGACCCATGGATTGAGGCTGTGGTTGAGCTTGGGAAAGGCAAATATGAACTCCTTGTGGAGCCTGCTCCTTAAAGAGGAACTTTACCCATATCTTTAAAATGACAACAAGCACACCTTTATAAATTACAATCTACAAACACATACCTCTAGATAATTGCAGACTTTGTATTATTTGCATACCTCATTTCTCTTTTCTTTCCCAGTCTTCTGGCAGTGGTCATGTTAACTAAGGGCAGATTGCTAGTTCTCCATTTACTTCCTGAAACTCTGGCACATATAACTAGACATGTTTACAGATGAGATTTCCCAGCAATGCTCTGCTGATGTAATGTTCCCAGGATGATAAGCTTTGGCACATGGCATCAATTGTGCCAGGAAGTAGATGAACTCTATTTGTATTTAAATCACAAACAAGTTTGTTTAATGAAATGCAAGATGATTTTAAATCCTCATGCAGAGCTGTATGCTGCTGTGAGTTTTAGTAAAAGGGGGTAAAGGTCCACTTTAACTGAGCCTGTTATTTGTCTTGTCAAAGCAAAGTGCAAGTTCACTTGGCATGTGTCTTTTGTCAGGCTAGCTAACTAAACTATATAGCTAAATACTTTAAACTTTTCTGTACCCCTTCAATCACAATACAGCTTCATAAAAGTTTATCTATAGGCAATATTCACATTTTCACATTCTATCAATTCACAGACATTTTAGTTTTTTAAATCCATGTTTGACTATTCTCATATATGCCTTTTTTTTAAAATCAGCTGCATCATAGAGAAAGGAGCTCAGTTCGACTTGGAGCTTAATTTGATATTTGCTAGCTCATGTATTCACAATGGCTATGCTCAACTGTGTTAAAAACGATATAAAAAAGTAAAATCCCTTAGGCTGGGTTCACACCTAGGCGGATTGAATATGCACTTTTTTCGCACGTTTTTTTACCGCGATTCGCGGTAAAAAAAAACGCGTGAAAAACGCGCGTTTCCGAGGGATACTTGGCTGTATCCCAATGGAACCCCCCGACCAAAACGCCCCAAAGAAGTAGGGCGTTTTTCCGCGCGTTCGTACTCGCGGAAAACCGCCCAGATGGGAACCATGCACATTGAAAATAATGGCATTTCCCTGTTTGAGCGTTTTTCCGCGAGTACGAACGCGCGGAAAAACGCCCTACTTCTTTGGGGCGTTTTGGTCGGGGGGTTCCATTGGGATACAGCCAAGTATCCCTCGGAAACGCGCGTTTTTCACGCGTTTTTTTTTACCGCGAATCGCGGTAAAAAAACGTGCGAAAAAAGTGCATATTCAATCCGCCTAGGTGTGAACCCAGCCTTAATGCCTGATAGTGAAGAGTAGACCAACTGCTATGTAGTCTCCATAATTTCAGTTATGCACAGGGGATGCATTGTTGCAGTTTAAATGTTTGTTTTCCATTGAATCTATTGTGTATCTGAGTGTCATATATGGGATTGGCTTGGATGTAAACTCTGTTGGTACAGTGAATGATTTATCAACTTTCCTGTAGAGATACTGTACATCGATACCGGTTTTTCGGTATTGAGTTACAGTACCGATATTTTTTATTTGTTTTGGGTACTGGCCTATGCCGAATACTGATACCGACTCTCCTGCAGGTACTGCAGGCCTGGCTTATCAGAAAGCCTAATTGCCTTGGAACCTGGTGTTCTATCAAACACCAGCTTCATGCTCCCTCGCGTCACTGCGATCGATCAGGAAGCCAGGCGGTGAGTCATGACCTGCCGCCAGGCTGCCACGCAATGTCGCTAGACAGTGTGAAGTCAGCTTCCTAGCTAATCAGTAGTCCCGGAGGCAGGTCATGACCCGCCGCCCGGCTTCCTAATTGGCCTGGATGCCAAGCTGCCTCGCAGTGTCACTAGACAATGTGAAGCCAGCTTCCTAGCCAATCAGGAACCCCGGAGGCAGGTCATGACTCACTTGTGGCACTGCCGGTCAGAGGGGATTTCGGTATCGGGGCATATGGGCGAGTACTTTGCTGCAAAGCTAGGGAATGTAAAAGGCTCAAACTTGGCACTGCTAAATAGGAGGTGTATATACCCTTAACTGCTTCTTCCATGTGCATGTGTTTAAGTAAAAAACTGTTGAATCTGATTTCTGCACAGCTTTTAAACTTGGCTCTTCAGGATTGCAATTGTACAGGCTGCATATGTACACGAAAAGTGTCACAAGTCCTTTGCTAAATGAGAAGCTGCCTGATATATGCTGCACACTTAATCTGTCAGTTGCTTTCTTTGCTTCTGCTGTTCCTGGTATCCAGATGTAAAAATGACAATATTCTAATAAATTGGCTAGTTGAGTAATATATGGGCATCTCTTGACAGCTTGCAGAGAAGTGTGCAGTGAATATGGCTACCATTAATATTTAATTAGCATATCGGATCACACAACCTTGATGTAACCCTTATCTAGCACCTGTCCCTAAAGGTGCCCATACACCTTACGATTATCGGACAAAACTATTCGTCCGATGATCGAATAGTCGTACGATTTTCGTACGGCAGCCCCATCCTGCCCCGATGATCGCAAGATTAATTTAGCCGTAATTAACGAAAAGCACCTGGACGAAATGCGGTCATTGATTTGTCGAATTTTCGTTCGCGCATGCGCAGTGTAGATCGTACGACTTTTGAGGGACGGAAACGCCAGCAACCTTCGACAATCGTAGGATCGAGCAAAGTTTTCAAACGTGCTTGACCGTCAAAAGTCGAACGATTGTACAGTAATGTCGGTCGGACACTGCAATGCACACATACGATTATCGGACGAAAAGTCGATCGCATACGAAAATCGTCCGAAAACTAACAAACCAATACCCATTTTCCATTAAACTATCATGGTAGTACTAGTACCAAATTATAACCTTATCTGCACCTACATTTTTTTACCAAACAAAACTGTTCTATTCCACCAGCCTCCGGTTACAATTGAATTGTCTTTTCTGGATAGATGGACCTTTAACCACTTGCTGACCGGGGTGTTTATACCCCTTCCTGTCAAGGCCATTTTTCAGTATTCAGCGCTGCGGTACTTTGACTGACATTTATTCCGTCATGCAACGCTGTACTGAAATTAATTTTATACCGTTTTTTGGGGACAGATAGAGCTTTCTTTTGGTGGTATTTAATCACCACTGCGGTTTTTGAAAAAAGTACCAAAACTTTATCCCTACGTTATGTTATAAAACTTTTATAATTACCCAATTTTTTGGTAAAATATAAAAGATGACGTCACGTCGGGTAAATAGACACCAAACATGTCAAGCTTTAAAATTGTGCGCACCCGCTACATCGCAAATTATTGCTCTCACTCCGACGTTCGCCGTGATATGTAACATGTGCGGCGCAATGGATGTAATCGTCATTTTCGCACGTAGGCGGATTCGACGCATGTTTGCGTGTGCATGTGGGGCCGGGGGACATTCATTTTTTTAAACCTTTTTTTTTCACTGAACTTTATTGCTATCACATAGGGAGCAAACAAGCTCCCTATGTGATAGCCAATTTGCAGTGACACGTCCTCTTTATGGAAACATCAGGGGTCTTTAAGACCCCTAATGTCACCTTGGTACCCCCAGAGAAGCTGATGAAGCAGAGACCTGCTTCACCAGCTTCTCTCCGGTTTCTGTACCGGAGAGTGAGAGAGGAATGCAGGAAGTGATGTAATACACATCACTGCCTGCATTCCGAAGAGGAGATCAAACAGGGTTTCATGTACTGAGCTCCGTTTTGATCACCGGCCGCAGAGCTGTAGTACCGGTCCCGGGCACCCACCGGGCACAGCGGAGCATGCGATCGGCAGCGGCGGAGGGTGCGCACACCCCCATGCATATTACAAGCGATCGGTTGTCTCTACAGACGCCTGAACGCTTGTATGTAAACAGCCATCGCTCTGTAAACACCCACCCGCTCTCAAGAAGCCGCTGTACGGCCGTTTAATTACAACGGCCGGACAGTAGGTGGTTAAATTACATATATGTATTAAGATTATGTATTTATTCACAGGCAGGGCCCTCCTTACCATCTTGTCTTGAATTGTATTGTGATTTGTAATGTCTTCCTTATATTGTAAAGCGCTGCACAAACTGTTGGCGCTATATAAATCCTGTGTAATAATAATGTATTACATTTTTTTAATGGCAGGTACGCATGCAAGCATTAAAGTGCTTTTCAGTTTTAGCGTTTGACAATCCCCAAGTATCAATGACCCTTGTAAATGGTAAGCAAGCCTTCTATTATTTTTTATGTCATTTGTATTGTTCTGATATTGCTTACTGTTGTGTTTACATAAAATTCTTCTATACTAGGAATAGCATTTTGCTGCATGGCATTCAGCAAGCACAATGTCGAAAGGCGACGGGGCTGTGTTGGATCCTATGTGTTGCATGCCTCTGGGCAACTATAGCAAGCTTCAACAGACACTGAAAGAATTTATAAGTACCGTTAGCATCTCCCTTATTTTCCTTCAGCATCTGTCAAAGCCGGCCTGTGGGTACGATGAAGTGTGCTTCCCCCAGGATTTCATACAGCCCCATCAGGTTGCAGTGAACAGCAAAGCTACTGGGGTGCTTGTTTAAATACTTTTGGATACACCGCTAAAAGTAATAATAAACCCTTGTTGATTAAAAAATACTTCTCTATATGAGTGAATTTATATTCCATTTATTTTTGAATTGATATATTTTCTAATCGTTCGATTTAGCTGTGTGATTTTTTTTTCCTCAGCTTTGACAACTTTCTCGCTCGGGTGCACTCCTCTGCTCAGTGGGTGGGGTTTCAATAGCCAGTCTGTTGTTGGCTATTTTGAATTAAAATAGCAAATAGCATTCTGGCTATTGCCT